TGTGGGAGAACGGGAAGACCAGTCAAATAGCAACGGAAATGAGGAGATACAACTTGGCAGTACTGGGAATCAGTGAAATCCATTGGACCCAAGCTGGACAACAAAGGCTAAATACGGGAGAGATGCTGCTATACTCCGGTCACGAAGAGGAAAATGCTCCACACACTCAGGGAGTTGCTCTAATGCTTTCCAAAGTAGCACGAAATGCACTTGTAGGATGGGAATCTCACGGATCCAGAATCATCAAAGCATCATTCAAAACAAAGAAGGAGGGGATCACAATGAACATTATCCAATGTTATGCACCCACCAATGATAGCAACGACGACGTCAAAGATCAATTCTATGAGAGGCTGCAATCAATCATAGAAAAGTGCCCAAGAAAGGACCTCACCATTCTGATGGGAGATCTAAACGCCAAAGTCGGAATGGACAACACCGGATATGAAGACATCATGGGACTACATGGACTGGGAGAGAGAAACGAAAACGGGGAAAGATTTGCAAATCTGTGTGCATTCAATAAATTGGTCATTGGCGGTACAACATTTCCACACAAACGTATACACAAAGCTACGTGGATCTCACCGGACCACACCACAGAGAACCAGATAGATCACATTTGCATCAATAAAAAGTTCCGAAGATGTGAAAACCAGGAGAGGAGCGGACATAGCTTCAGATCATCACCTGGTTGTGGCCAAATTGAAACTGAAGCTAAAGAAGAACTGGATAACTGGACAAACAGCATCACAAAGGTTCAATACAGCCTTCCTTCGAGATACTGACAAACTCAATGAATTCAAGATTGCTCTCAACAACAGGTTCCAAGCCTTACAGGATCTACTGAAAGAAGAAGAAGAAACTGCTATGGAGGATAGCTGGAAAGGTATCAAAGAAACATTAACTTCAACGTGTCAAGAGGTTCTAAGCCCCAAGAAGCATCATCACAAGGAATGGATCTCTATAGAAACACTGGACAGGATCAAAGAAAGAAAGAACAAGAAGACAGCAATTAACAACAGTCGAACAAGAGCAGAGAAAGTCCAAGCACAAGCTGAGTACATAGAAGCAAACAAGAAAGTGAAGAAGAGCATTAGAGCTGACAAGCGAAAATGCGTGGAAGAACTAGCAACGACGGTGGAAAAAGCTGCAAGAGAAGGAAATATGAGACAGCTTTACGATACGACGAAGAAGCTTGCAGGGAAATACAGTAAACCAGAGAGACCAGTCAAAGACAAAGAAGGAAGACCAATCACTGAGATTCAACAACAGTGCAACAGATGGGCAGAGTACTTCGAGGAACTCCTGAACAGGCTGGCTCCAATGAATCCACTGGACATCGAAGCAGCACACACAGATCTTCCTATAAATGTCAATCCACCAACGACAGAAGAAATCAGAATGGCCGTCAGACAAATCAAGAGCGGGAAAGCAGCAGGACCTGACAATATACCAGCTGAAGCGTTGAAGTCAGACATCGAAGTAACTACAAGCATGCTTCATCTTCTATTCAAGAAGATTTGGGAGGAGGAACAAGTGCCGATGGATTGGAAAGAAGGACACCTCATCAAGATTCCAAAGAAAGGAGATCTGAGCAAGTGTGAAAACTACAGAGGCATTACACTACTGTCAATACCGGGTAAAGTCTTCAACAGAGTGTTACTGAACAGGATGAAAGACGCAGTTGACGCTCAACTTCGAGATCAACAAGCTGGATTCCGTAAGGACCGGTCGTGCACAGACCAGATTGCGACACTACGGATCATCGTCGAACAATCAATTGAGTGGAACTCGTCACTCTACATCAACTTCATTGATTATGAGAAGGCATTTGACAGTGTAGATAGGAGGACGTTATGGAAACTTCTTCGACACTACGGAGTTCCTGAGAAGATTGTCAACATTATCCGGAACTCATACGATGGACTACAGTGCAAAGTAGTGCATGGAGGACAGCTGACAGACGCATTCCAAGTAAGGACCGGAGTAAGACAAGGCTGTCTACTCTCTCCCTTCCTGTTTCTTCTGGTGGTCGACTGGATTATGAAGACCTCGACATCTGAGGGAAACTACGGCATACGATGGACAGCTCAGAACCAATTAGACGACTTGGACTTCGCAGATGACCTAGCCCTCCTATCACATACACACGAACAAATGCAGATAAAGACAGCCAGCATAGCAGCAGTCTCTGCATCAGTAGGCCTCAACATACACAAAGGGAAAACCAAGGTCCTCAAACACAACACGGAGAACAGCAATCCAATCACTCTTGATGGCGAAACTCTGGAAGACGTGGAATCCTTCACATATCTGGGAAGCATCGTCGATAAACAAGGAGGCTCAGATGCAGACGTAAAGGCGAGGATTGGCAAAGCTAGAGCGGCATTCCTTCAATTAAAGAACATATGGAACTCAAAACAACTTTCAACCAATATCAAACTCAGAATCTTCAATACGAACGTCAAGGCAGTTCTACTGTACGGAGCTGAAACTTGGAGAACTACAACAACCACCATCAAGAAGGTACAGGTATTTATCAATAGCTGTCTACGCATGATACTCAACATCCATTGGCCGGATACCATCAGCAACAGCCTTTTTTGGGAGAGAACCAACCAGCTTCCAGCGGAAGAAGAAATTAGGAAAAGACGATGGAAATGGATAGGACATACATTGAGGAAATCATCAAACTGCATTACGAGACAAGTGCTAACTTGGAATCTTGAAGGGAAGCGGAAAAGTGGAAGGCCAAAGAACACATTACGTCGGGAAATAGAAGCGGATATGAAAGGGATGAATAGAACTGGAAAGAGCTTGAAAGGATTGCACAGGACAGGGTTGGATGGAGAATGCTGGTGAGCGGCCTATGCTCCTTCACGAGGAGTAACAGGCGTAAGTAAGTAAGTAAGTAAGTAATTAACAGATTCTAAGTTAGAAATATTATCAATGATGGAATGTGCAACTCTCATTTTGTCTCACTCAAGCTTTATAATATGGATGTATCTGTACCTCAAATTTGATGTTGATACTGAGATTAAAGACTGATATACACTTTAAATTTCGAATTTCATTGTCTGTTTAGCTACTAAATCCAAACGGTTACCAAATTCTTCAACTGGTATAGGTTATGTAATTTTCAGTTGTTAATACTTATAACTGCAATTAATTAGTCGTTTCAGCTGTACATTGGTTATGAGATACTGCATCACAAGTCTTAGTACATCAAAATGCTGTGAGCTTCAATTTAAGTTTCTGGGTTTCGGTTTCAATGTAAATACCAAGATTGGAATGCAAGCCTACACAGTTGGTGAGTCTTGATTAGGGTGAAATCCGTATCACAAATTCTACTTTTGCTTAAGGAATGTGTTTAAAAGTATTCTATAAGACCACATTCCTCAACTTGAGGGTCGATGTAACGCATAGTAGATATTATGTCAAATAACAATCATAATAATACATTTTTCCACACGTATACAACAATGAAAGTCGTCATCAGGGAACTTCTAATTATTTTTAAGTTGACATTCTGTTATATTTGGGCTTATAATTCAAGGTACAGTCAGTCCCAATAATGAGAAGCGTAAATGATCTATGAACGTATTCCAGCCTTAATATATCTTTTCCATGAACACTATTAAGAATAAACATTCAGTGTTCTAGAAATGATCAAACACATACTTTTGCACCAAAACACGTGGCTCGTTGTTACGAATGATTCAACCCAGAAGACGTTAAGACCTGAACGTCTGTTTCGCGATCTGTTTAGAGAAGAACAAATTTCAGGAAAACCCGAGCTTCACGTTCATTAATAACTCGAATAATACCTTACCATTTATTATGAGATCTAAGTTGAGTGATGAATTATCAAAGTATATCCGACCACACTAAATCGTTTTAATTTCTAACTACCATTTTCAGCACCGATGAGCCTCATACTGATGCAATTTTTCATATTATTCGAGTGATGAAGAGAAGATGAATACACTACTTTAGAGTCATCTGTACATAGAAGTGTCTTACCCATACAGAAGCGATCGTATATATCATTGATAAAAACTAAAAAAGAGCAAAAAACCTAAAACACTACTATTTCAACATTATTCCTATGGAACATTTGAAATCTCATTCTATCACTTCCTAGTTAAATCTGTCAAATTGTCTTGATCTTGTGCTTTTATATAACTGAATTCTATTTACTTACTAAGTTGTTGACTTACATTTTACGTGCTCGTACCTTTTCAAAAACACATGGGTTAACTTGATAAATTAAAAATAGGCTACAGATAATTCCATTTATCTATATTTATAACAGATTATCATTACACTACACTAACATAATGACTATACTCTGAAAGGTTATGTCATCAAAAATAACTCTTAATGTATATTACAAATATAAATGTTGTAACGGAAGTTGCAATTACTCACAACTCACTAAATATACATTCCAAAGTTCCGAATAAATTTATTGTTTGTTCTCCCGATCTCGCTCACTCTCTCTCTCTTCCTACATCAAATGAAGTATCGTTTATAAAATGAATTCTATTCTAGTTTCCTATTAATAATAATAATAATACTTCGTCCTAAAACTGACCTTGTTTTCTCTTTTCCAAGAAAATCTTTTCAAAAATGAAAAAAAAAGACTCTTTTGTTATTACTAATTGAATTACATGTCACCTTAATAATAATAATAATGAAAAAAACAAGATTTTTTTCAAAAGAAGTGCATTAACTGTAAACAAATGAATAAATACAACAGAAATCACTTGACGCTTGTTTGTTTTCTCCCTCCTCCACTCTCGCTCTCTCAAGTCAACTGTAAGGTCACTAAATTTTTTTCCGGAATATTATTTGTAAATCAATTATGGCTAAAATATGTTTATAACATGGGTTTACGCTAGATTAAATAAAAAAAGGTATTCCATTATAAAGTGTTACCTTATTGATGAAAGAAGATGATTAGTTGTATTGATTGTAATTTATAGTTTTTTTTTATCTGAAATCAATATGTTATAGTTTGTAAAAAAAAAAGGATAAGGAAAGAACCGTATGTTTAAGAATTAAAATTAAATGGTTAGCATTCAATGATATAACACTTTAATTTAATCATAAAATACATTTTGAAATAGTGGCCTAATCAGCTTCACTGAATATGAAGGCTAATTTTGAAGGGAAAGTTTCATTTCTAAAGATTAAATTAATGTAAATACAAGTTATGAGAACATATAATATTGGTCTAACCCAGAAGTGGATAATTGAGCAGCCATTTAAATGAATAATCTTCTTACTTACTTACTTACTTACGCCTGTTACTCCTCGTGAAGGAGCATAGGCCGCTCACCAGCATTCTCCATCCAACCCTGTCCCAACCAATCCTTTCCAGCTCTTTCCAGTTCTATTCATCCCTTTCATATCCGCTTCTATTTCCTGACGTAATGTGTTCTTTGGCCTTTCTCTTTTCCGCTTCTCTTCAGGATTCTAAGTTAGCGCTTGTCTCGTAATGCAGTTTGATGATTTCCTCAATGTATGTCCTATCCATTTCCATCGTCTTTTCCTAATTTCCTCTTCAGCTGGAAGCTGGTTGGTTCTCTCCCACAAAAGGCTGTTGCTGATGGTATCCGGCCAATGGATGATGAGTATCTTGCGTAGACATCTATTGATAAATACTTGTACCTTCTTGATGGTGGTTGTTGTAGTTCTCCAAGTTTCAGCTCCGTACAGTAGAACTGCCTTGACGTTCGTATTGAAGATTCTGAGTTTGATGTTGGTTGAAAGTTGTTTCGAATTCCATATGTTCTTCAATTGAAGGAATTCTGTCCTTGCTTTGCCAGTTCTAGCCTTTACGTCTGCATCTGAACCTCCTTGTTTATCGACGATGCTTCCCAGGTATGTGAAGGATTCCACATCTTCCAGAGTTTCGCCATCAAGAGTGATCCTCTTGGTCAATCTAAATACTTCCACCCTTGAGCTTTTTACTCACCAGTTGTTCCTGAACAGGTTATGATCTACCCGGCCTTTGTACTGTATTATTATACTAATATTGGCAGTTTATTCCTAATAAGGCTGAATCTCATCAGATCTGAATTGCTTTTAAAATCATGAAAATTCATCCTGACGCAAGTTCTTAGTAAGTGCTTGATTAGATTTCAGTTGAGAGATTTCGTGGAAATCACTCAAACTGTACATGACCTGCAATATGTTTTGACATATATATACATATTCTATAACTTCAACTGAAAATAATAGTAATTCGTGAATGCTTCAACTTATTTATTTTCATTCAACAAAGTATATAATTTTCTCGAACGAACAGCGTGTCATTGTACTATAGTCCATGAATTTATTTACTGTTGTCAACTTATTCTACCAATGAATAATCATTGAGGAAATAATGCACCGACTAACAGAGATCAACCAATTACATTACTTTTGGACTATATAAGATTCTAAACTGACATCAAATATTAGCAGAAGCACATATTCTGCCTTTTGGTAAATATATTCGGATTCATTCAACTGAGTCATTGGTAATTTTCATGGTTTCTGTCGATAATTTCTACTATTATCTAAAGTAGAACATTTGCTATTTGATGGTAAATTCATATAGTTAAAAGATGTTTACGTACTTTTATGATATATTGAAATATATTTAAATAGTTAAACAATTGATAAGATTTAGATCTATAACATTTGTTGAAGTATTGTTAGAGCTCTGACGAATGACTGCTTTACTAGAATTATGTAATCTATAACTATGTATCAATAGTTGTAGAATATTATGTCATACATTCTTGCGATTGCATAACTTCCCACATTCAAAGATAATTCACTGTTTTTTTAATCTTTCATATCCATTCATCATCTTTGACTACATATGGTAATAACCGCTAAAAATATTTCACGAGGCTAATGCCTAAGAACAAAAAAGATAGCTTAATATAAGTTTGTTATAAGAAATAAGCAAACTAGAATAAATCGACTTTAAAGTTACAATTTTTAATACAAAAACTTGATAGTGATGATATTTGGATTGAAACGCTGATACAGAATAGATAAGGTATCCAAAGATTTGTTTTATAAAAACGAAAAAAATGATATATGAACCGTTCATATGTCCCATGTTTATTTATGCGTAACCCATATGTGTATCAGTCTTTCAATAAATAAAAAACACGATTCTTTAATTCACAAATTTCCTTTTATCTTTCATCATTTTAAAATTAATCTACGTGAATTCTAAAAACGGATGACAATGTAACTCTCAAATTTCATTTAACTTGATAGTCTATCATAAATATGTTTTGATCTTTCATTTAGTTTGGTAAGCTAGGATGCTGGCTCACTAGTCTAGAGGTTAAGCTGTCGCATGTGAGATCAAAGGCCCTGGGTTTAAATCCCGTGGGTGGGATCGTGGATATGCACTGTTGAGGAGTCACACAATAGAAAGAAACGGTCATCCAATGCTTCTAGGTATTCAAAACGTTTGTATAATTAAATTTTCTTAATATAACTTATACACCTCAAAATATAGATTTCTTTGAATGACTTTGAATAGATCGTTCCTGTTACTACTCATATAACATTTTGTGAAAATTAAATTATCAATATTAACTTTATACCACTTGAATGGTTATTCAATAATCAATGTACTGGAATTTCACAAGCGTCACACTTTTCTTTAAAAAAATAAACTGTTAAATAAGTTTGACAATTTGGATTGTTTGACAATTTTTTGTTGTTTTTTTTTTCAAAAAATAACTTATGTTTGTAACTTATGAAACAAATTGACATTTTTACACGTATTATAAAATGTAGTTTGTAATTTCATGTAAAATTCGACAAAACCCCCGTTGTTGTTGTGGTTGTCATTGTCGTTCTTGTTGCTATTGTTGTTGTTGTTGTCGTTGTCGTTGTTGATGTTGTTATTGTTCATTCTTTTATTTCGCGTCATCAAACTAATACATAATATGAAGTAAAATATACATTGACTTTATTTACATGTTAACCAGAAATATAATATCAGACAATTTCAAGATGTTAATGTTGAATACTTTAAATAATTATTATATTTTAAATGTTTGAATATTTCTTGATACTAGTTTTAATTGTAATGTATACGACTTCTGTTGACAGATTCAAGTTGAATGTATAATAATAGAAGATTGTGAAGATTTAATTGAAGAGAAAGAACAGATAGAATCATGAAGTATTTAATGAACAATTGATGAAAAATGTGTAAATTATGTATTTAATGTTTGGTTTTCATATTTTATGAAAGGAAAACTTTCACTTTACACTGTACGATGTCCTTATTCACTATGTAACAAAACATCTATTTAAGTCAAAGTTTATTGTTGTGCTTAAGCATTTATGAGTAAGTTTGTACAAAAGTTCATATTCGGATAATACATACTTTTATCCTTAATGAAATAAGTTGTAAAATACTGGTTATCATAAATTTCTTATATTATTTACATTCACTAGATAAACTTCTAACACGTTTGCATGAATAATTAGTCTGCTGTAGTATAACGTGTGTAGGAAATCTTAAGTTTCTTTTTGAATGCATTTATTCTAAGAAAATGTTCTTTTTTATTATTCTGAAATATGTTTTATTCTACATAGAGATTTCTACACTTAACATTTAGTATTAAGCTTTCTTATCAAGATATTTTACTCAATATCTAAATACATTTTCATTAGTATTGAATTCAGTTTATAACATTAAATACTTGATGAATTATAATCATATTGTCGACTGAATGTTTTTGCATATACATGCACTTCTTTCTCCTCAGTATTGTCCAGTTTTTTGCTGAGTGTATTTCCTTGGAGCATTCTGGTACTAAACATTTAAATGAATTTTAGTGTTAAATTCTGTTGGTTATACTTACTTTTAACATCTGAACACAGAAAATTACAGTGGTCAAGTGAAATGAACAATGGTTTTGTTGGGGACGATAGATCCCTAAAAACACATAGTTTGTAATTTTATCTTGTGGAGCTTGTATGCAGATGTATACGTGGGCATTTCTTACCACCCACGCACATAGTTGATTGACGAATTCATCGACTAAATGTTTAAATATTTCAATGGCAGTCAATTAACGAACTATCGATTAAATGTTTAAAAACTCCATGACAGTATCGATGTATATATATTTGTATATATACGTTTTAAAATTGTCTTGTAAAATGATTTGCTGGATGTTTCAGAATATACTTTCGTTCTAAGCTTGGTCTTCTCACTCTAGATAGCGGGGCTGGGACGCGTCAATAGTTAGCTTACTGGACCTTGGTCATCGAATCTCGTTCTCGTTCACAAACTACGTGAACCCATGATAGTTCTCTCTTTTCAACCCTAACAATTGGCGAAGGAGACGGGATTCGAACCCACGAGGGGAAATCCCGATGGATTGCATGAATTTACTTAATATTGTTTTATTCTTAGTTATAAGATAAAATTTAATTCAAGTATGTTATCACTAATGATATTGGAACCCAAAAATAAATATCATTTAAAACACAGAAGGATTTAGTTTTAACTTGAACAAGTATTGGGAAAACTGAAGTTCTCTCTTGTCTTATAATTATCTTTAATCTAAGGTTCTTATAAAGGAAACAATAATCTATTACTTATAATACAGCTGTTGAAGACTACACTTAGGCTCTACATCACCGTAATTAAAAACATACATAATGGAGGAAATATGATATATTTTTTAAAAGTAATTATAAGAAAATTACAAATCATGTACATGGGAAATATATGAATAATGCAAGTTTCAATGTCTTATTTGTATCGTTATTTACAGTTATATATATATATATATATATATATATATATGCAAATCAAAATTATACAGTTTCCAAGTATAATGTTTTTAATATTATTCAAGAAACCACTGGGAAATTTTCTAATGGATTTACACATCAGTAATATACTGAGATTGATATCTTTTGAGAAAATATGTATATATCTGTTAGGATGAGGTTTAAGTAAGATTGTTTAGAATTATGAAAGTAATACATGAATAGATAAGCAAACAAAATACTTGCCAATTCATATTCCTCTAATGTTAATGTATGTATAGTTCATTTGATAATATTTTATAGAATATACATATCCAAATGTGACCTGAAATTTAATTGAAATATTTATTTCAAATAACATTAATAGAGATTGTGATCATTGAAATAAGCATAGAAACAATTGAATAATCTTTCAAAATAATCAGTTAGATAATAATTTATGGATATTTATTTATTTATTTATTTTAACACATAGATATTGGTACAAGGAGGCAAAAAATACATATGCGCTACACGAATCTCAATTGATATGTGTGATAGCTGTGATACTGCTCGGGTGCCCAAACCGAAGCAGGTGGTTTTCTTAGGGGGCTACACCCCGAGCCTTCGACTCGAAGATCTGATCCACAAGGCAGTGGAGCATCGTAAGGAGATGCAGTCCAGTTTCATGGTAGCTGGTGACCAACGATTGGTTCATACGCCATTTGTTCCCGCAGGATACTGGAGCCAGTCCATGTGCAGCATTGATTTGGGATCCGGTTAAAGAGCCGGACATTCGCTTTTCGTTTTCTCATTTTCGTAAATAACATCCGTGGTGCTAGAAGGCAGTGAGTAGGACTTCCCTGGCAGAGGCTATATACGCGTGGCCATGTGAAAGCATTTGGAGAGGGAAAGTGAACTCTCCACACTCTCGGCCGTACCGGGGCATTTGGGGATAAGATTTGAATGACGCTAAAGTAACTTTGAGAGTGCCCACCTAATAACTAGGATTAAATGATGGTTATAAACCAGTGTGAGGAATTAAAAATTATGATTTAAAATTGATGGTTGGAATATTTATCACAAACTGATATCAACTATAATGCCAAAATTTTATTTAACCAAATGGATGAGTGAATTTCATGCCAAAATCCAAGACCTGTTATCTTATACCTGATTGGTTCGTCCATAAATTATTATCTCATCACATAATTATACATGTCATAAACATTTCAATAATCAATAAGCATTTGTTTTTCTTTCTTTCCTACTTTCATCAAACATTGTTTTATAGTACAAAACGTTTTTCACTTACTAAAAAACATGTATTTTAAAAGTTTTTTTTATATCTGTTGTCTTCATCATTCATAATATGAATGTATAATTTAGCTTTATCTATTATAACAAATCATGTACATTATTTAAGTTAACTCTTTGTATATTGAATCCAATTGTACTTTAAGAGTTGTACTGTCATTTTACATGTGAATATCTATTTACTGTGAATATCTATTATTTTTTTCTTTTAAAAAAAGAGTTTTTTATCTTTATATATTCGATTTTCTACTACAAATCATTAGGTTGTTTAGTGAACATAAAATTTTGTTTTGTTTTTTTCTCTTCAGAAATAATCTAAACGTCTAGTTTTTCATTAGACATGTGAAAGTGTTATGTCAAAGGATAAATCCAATTGTCTGATTATACTCTAATCAAATTAATTTACAAAACTGGTTTTTCAAACCAGATTTTGATCTATTCCGTAGTTTTTTCCTGATTATAAAAACGATCAGTTTAGGGGTTGTGAAGATTGCTAAGTTTTTGATTGAAATCATGAACCAATTGATGTTAGACAAAACCTGGAAGCACTGGACGGCCAACTCGTCCTATTGTGAGACTCCTCAGCAGTGTGCATCCACGATCCCTCTAGCGGGATTCCAACCCAGCACCTTCAGTGTCGTGCGCGAACGCTTAACCTACTGGATCACTGAGCCGGTCTGCATCCAATGGTGTTATTGTCTAACCTCAACCAATCCACGAAGTTGCGCGACCATCTTCCATCTTATTGAGGTAGATACCTGTCTACCCTACACGGATTAGCTCAACTGGTCACTGGTCAGTGTTGGTCTAATATTAATTGGTTCATGATCTAAATCAAAAACTTAACAATCTCCACAACCTAAAACTGATAACTACCACGTGGTCACTAGTGACTAGCTTCGTTAGAAAATTCTCAGAGTTCTAGTGAGAAGCCGTGACCACTGGAGCTAATCCATTTCGGTTAGAGACAAGTATCTACCTCAGTATAAAAACTATTTTTGACTGTTTCAATATGCTTCACAAAAGGGAAATTATTATATATCTTTTGTTACCAAGACGATTATATTATTATACAAAATTATCTTACAGTGATAAATCTTGGGAAAATTTAGAAAAAAAAAAAAGTTGGATAGAATACAAGCTGTAAATCACATACATATTCAATAATAATGTTCATCAGATATGTTTTAACTGTTAGTAATTTAAACAAAATGTTGGTGAAAACTCACTTCAATATTAAGTCAATCAATATAATGTTCCTTTTAGTTTGTTTGTTTTTTGTTTTCACTTGAAATTAGACATGTAAAAGTATGAGAATCTGTTGTTAGTTAATACATAGAAATCGCTCTGAGAATTATATATTAAGTTTGTTCAATTTGGCAATAATTTCAATGGAAATAGAATTTTGTATGGAATAGTTACATTATCATTTGTTTAAAATAAACTTTCATCTAGTTTGTAATGACGCCAACTTACTACAAGGTGATCTTATGTCATAGAAATACTTGATTAAACAGATATTTTCACCACTATGTTTTTTTTTTCATATGGTGACATTATATTATTCTTTGGTTGACATTCTTTTATATCCCTGAACAATATTGAAAAAATATATATATATAAGAAGTTGACTATCGAGGCACTTATGACCATATAAAGAATGCAACAGTAAACTAATATTCTTTTTTAATAGATGCATATTTTTATCTTGAACACCATGAACTAAAATAATGTAAACAAATTATAAACATTAAAATATCGAATATATATCACCGAAAACCATCATATTCAATTGATTTTCATTACTTCTCAAGGGATAGAATCTTGATTTGGACTGTTGTTTTACTCATTGATTAGTAAGAGATATGATTAATAATGAGAATAATTAGAAATTCAACATAGATCGTTTATTGTATAGTTAATCATGATTTTATGTATGATTATTCCATAGTGGATTATTGAATAATTCTGTCATTTTGATAAGCTTTTAAACTAAATTTTTGTTGTGTTTCATCAAAATAACTTGAATGTGCATCATATGAATATTTTAAATCTGTCTCATCTGTTAGATCCATCATTTTCATGTACTGACATGAAGGAATATATATTTCAATTTTTTGATTATCCATTAGATCATTATGTCTGTTCATATTAATTGTATTTATATCCATGTGATTATTATTATTATTATTATAATCCCAGTATTCAGTTGATATATTTATATTGGAACATTTACCAAACATTGAATCTTGATGAGATGATAATAGTTTACCATTTGGATAATTTGTTAATTCCAAACTTGTTTGACCTCCAATATTAGAAAACTGTGATAAACAGTCAGGTATTGAATGAATCACTGAAGTACATTTAAGTAGAGGAGAAATATAGAGAGATGAGCAGTAATATTTCAAAAAAAAAAATAAATAAATGAATGGGATCCTAAATCAAAAGTAAATGTTATTTACAAAGGTTTCAATAGTTCTTGCCGTTTAATCTACTTTCTTTTTAGTATCCATTCCACATACTTTTGTGTATTAACATAGTTTATGGTATTGTTGTTTATGTGGTATTCAACATTGCTTTTTGATCGGTACCAACTTTTTGGGTTTTCATGTTAAGTTTTATCCTAAAATTTAAGATCTGTATATTTATATTCATCTAAAGAGCTTATAAATCATAAGTCGTATTATCTTCAAATCTCAGATTGTCATAAAATTTGACAAGTACGAAAGTGATTCATATTTCGAACACAAGGTGGTGTATAAACTTTCTTAATTTTCTATTTATGAATTCAAGTATTTATATATCTTGAAAAAATATTTCAAATAAATTGTTCAACAGTTATCATATTGAGAATAACAATTTCAGAAGTTTACGATGAACAGTATTTTGCGAATTTACAGTATGCAAGCATGTAATCCATCCGACAGCCCGACCTCACCAAAAAGTAGTATGTATATCAACCGATATAATTAATCAGTCTCCTTTACTTTACTGGTAGTTACATAAATAAATACAGTCAAAATATCTAGTTACAGGATGGGTTTTGTGCAGATTGCAGTAATTTGAATGGTTGAGTTCATAAGTCAATTGAAGCTAGAATACCATGAAAGACCTGGAAGCACTGGACAGTGGTTTCGTCCTGTTGTGGGACTCCTTAGCAATGCGCATCCACGACCCCGTCCAGCGAGACTCGAACCCAGGACCCATCAGTCTCGTACGCGCGCACGTATGCTCATATTTGTACATGTGCTCACTAATGATTGGCTTCAAAAGGTATTTCCTGGAGTCCTAATGAGAAGCACTGACCAGTGGAGTTCAATCAAGTCTGTTGTGAAATAGTAGCTCACTGAAGACAATGATAGATGTGTCGCTCAATTTCGTGGATTGATTGAAGTTAGACATTAACACCGTTGGATGCCAGCCGGCTCAGTGGTTTAGATGTTAAGCGTTCGCGCGCGAGACTTATAGGTTCTATGTTTGAATCTCTCGGGGGGCAAGATCGTGGATGCGCACTGCTGAAGAGTCCGATACTTGGATGAATTTACCATCCAGCATTTCCAGGTTTTCTATGGTAGTCCAGCTTTAATTGACTCACGATCTCAACTATTGAAATATCAAGTTTCTAAAGAAAGAGAGAAAGAAAGTTAAAAATTCATTCAACATTACCTCGATAACTATTAGAAGGTCTAGAAAAATCATAATTCTGTGATTGATCCATTTTTGACCAGTTTGAAGGTGAATTTTTCATATTTGTTGTACAATGATTAATTGTATTAATGTCTATTTTATTACTTCTATCATGAAATACATTATTTCTTTTAGAACGTCGTAGAAAAATAAATACAGAAGATATAAGTATAGTTGATATAATACAAGCGGATGCAATAATTGCTATAACAATATAAAGATTTAATTTATATCCACTTGATCCAAAACTACTAAATTCACCAGCATTATTTAAATGATAAAGATTCATAGATAGATAGGCTTTTGAAGAGGAATCATCAATTTCTATAATTAAATCAGTTATAGTAAAATGATATGGTTGTCCACAATCTCTTGCTTCTATCTTGAGAATTTGTTCACCTATTGCAGTATATGGAATTTCTTTATTAATACTGAGTGTTCCAGTATTTTTATCTAATATAAAATAATTTTCATCGTTTCCAGAATGTATAAAATATGTGACTGTACCATTTTCACCAGCATCATCATCTACAGCTTGTATCTGAAAATAGTAAACATCCAATTACAAAAAAACATTAGCCAGGTAACCATTACTTCAATTTAACTGAGCATAATGGCATTGAATTGATTGTAAATGTTTGCAACTATTTAAATAGTTTTAGGCATAAACCTAGTTATTAACTGTACAAAACGGGAATTAAGCATTAATCAATATCTTTCGTCACGTAATTAATTTGAAGAATGATTCTATTGTAATCATATAGATACTGAAATTTAAGATAATGTTGAGTAAGTTACAAATGCTATTTATTTGACAAAATAATTTTAGTTCAAATAAGGATAGTTGTTAAGTACTTTATCAATTTAGGTGTTGTGGAGATTGTCACGTTTTTGATTAAGATCATGAACCGATTAATGTTAGACCACCATTGAAAACCTGGAAGCACTGGACGGCCAACTCGTCCTATTGTTAAACTCCTCAGCAGTGTGCATCCACGATCCCTCTAGCGGGATTCGAACCCAGGACCTTCAGTGTCGTGCGCGAACGCTTAACCTACTGGATCACTGAGCCGGCATCCAACGGTTTTAATATCAAGTATTTTATTAAATAATTTGATTTATAATCAATGATTGATCAATGTAAACACTTGAAATTTACAGGGTGTCTATCACAGCTGTAATAGGTTAGTAGTAATATCTTAGATTTGAAGCTGAAACATTCCGAAATAATAACTCTCTTATGATTGTATGTGTTTTCATGATGAATCTGTACTAGAAAGAAACCTATAACTTGAGCTTCCTGTCAACTATCTCTAAATATCTAAAGTGAAGATGAATCAAATATATTTTATGATATAAGTTATTAACAATTAGCTTTCAAAACTAAATCTATTTTATCTGGTATTGTTCAAAAATAAAATTTCAATTCCAACTTTTAAAAAAAGGAAAGTAGACTTAAGAAATCATACAGAAGTTTTTGAGTTTAATGAACTCACTACTACTTAAAGTATTTATCGATTCTTTAGGTCTATTATAGTACAAAAATAAAATTTAACTTATGGAAAATTAAATGTGGTTTTTATGATATATTGGCTAGTAAATTATTAGATTCCTTCAATCAATTAGTAAACGTGTTAAAATTAGGGAATGAATTAGGATATATGAACTTCAACTTGGTACATTTAAATTTAAGTTTCAATCTGAAGATCGATACTAGCATGCACATAACGTATAGGTATCAAATAGATAGGAATGTACGTTTTGAGTTCTATTGCCTGTCGCAATCCATATATCCTATAAAATATAATTAGACATTTATTTATGTTCATTTGTATACCAATTTCAAAAAGCATGATTTTAGTTACTATGATATTTTTCATATTTTTATAATAATGTACAACGTATTTCCTATTGTTAATTAATCTACTGTTGGTTATAAAGTTGAGTAACACATTGTAGTGGTTTGGCTTTGAAATAATTTCTTAGGCTTTGTCTATCAATTACACTGATAACCGTTAATAAATACTTACAACGATGAATTCAGAAGGCAACACAACGCGTCGACTACAGTTTATCAATGGATAGCACAGATAACAAGGTAACAAATGCATTGAGCAGAGGATAATGCGCGCAAGACAGCGAATAATGAGGTTGATTCAGAGTCAAATCGAATATAATTGAAGCGAAGTAATTAGTAAGATTCAAACGTATGATTCATCGAGCTAATATTTAGGGTAGAGTGAGGAATGTGGGTGTAGACTCACATATTACCAAGATCATATAATAATAATAACAATAAAAAGAAATAAACATATTGTTACTGTTTGAATAAAACTGTCTATTAAATAAGTTAATTGAAAGGCTTGACAAAACTAACAGTCAACAAAATTAATTGCATGAGAGGTGCTATAACGCTACTCAATAAGTTATGGTCAAACGAGTCAAGTTGTGAAGAATCAAAAAGAAACAACTGCCGCTGCTTCATTATGCAATTTGATAGTAATGAAAAGACGAAGCTGATCTGCATTATGAGACATATTTGCTCAATACATAAATTATAAACTTTTACACGAACATTGGTATTAAAAATGGATTGTAGTTATTAGCACAGGTTCGATATGAAGAAAGGTTGTTTCTGAATGTATAAAAGACGCTTAAATGGACTTTCAAATGGGAAAACATTTTTAGTAGGAAATCTATATGAGTATAATGAAGAGAACACAGGTGGAAACAATCGAATGTATTTTGACAAGAAATTACAGAGCATTTCAACAAACTTTGAGAACCATATGGCAGATTATTAACTTGCAAAATATCAATCCATCATATCAAACTTGACTGTTCGTGTTGCAACATCAATCCATTTTCTCAGATCTCATTGTTCATACATTTTCATACCAATTGCGTTCCGTTCCGTTCTTTCCTTATCGACCTTCTATTGAAATAAATTCTATGACTGACCACCGTTATATTCTACTTGTGTGGATATAAGTAAACCACACCACATGAGTAATAACAAGCCAAGTTAAATCCAATCTCAAGACATGTTCCAGCCATTTGTCTTATGTAAAATGGGTAGTATAGTGTTTATTTATTTATTTTAACACATAGATATTGGTACAAGAAGGCACCAAATACATATGCGCTACACAAAACTCATTTGATATGTGTGAGGGCTATGATACTGCTCGGGTGCCCAAACCGAAGCAGGTGGTTTTCTTAGGGGGCCACACCCCGAGCCTTCGACCCAAAGATCTGATCCACAAGGCAGTGGAGCATCGTAGGGAGATGCAGTCCAGTTCCATGGTAGCTGGTGACCAACGATTGGTTCATACGCCATTTGTTCCTTCAGGATACTGGAGCCATCCCATGTGCACCATTGATTTGGGATCCGGTTACAGCACCGGATATTCGCTTTTCGTTTTCTCATTTTCGTAAATAACATCCGTGGTGCTAGAAGGCAGTGAGTAGGACTTCCCTGGCAGAGGCTATATACGCGTGGCCATGTGAAAGCATTTGGAGAGGGAAAGTGAACTCTCCCCACTCTCGGCCGTACCAGGGCATTTGGGGGCCAACAACTTCTATATATTTTCACGATTTTCCTTCACTCTCTTACATACTTTTAGTTATCATTTTTCGTATTGGAAACTTTTGTCTAATTGAAATTTTTTATATTTGAATTGAAATAATTTAACTTGTGAATATGAGACGGTTGGTTAGCGTCGTTTTAGCGAGTTAGTTATTTACGGGATGGGGTCGCTAACCCCATATGATACAGTTGTTCGAAATTCATTTTACAAGTCAAATCTGTATTCTTTTAAAAATTAAATTTTCAAAGTTTCTTAAAGAAGTGAAATGGTTCAGAAATTTTTTCTCAGAAGAGGTTTTTGTGTATATTATAGAAATTTTTTAATTATTTGAGATCATGAGTCAATTGAAGCTAGACCACCATAGAAAACCTGGAAGCACTGGACGGCTGTTTCGTCCGACTGTGGGACTCCTGAGCAATACATAACCACGATCCCGCCTGGCAAGATTCGAACGCAGGACCTCTCAATCTGGTTGGTTAATAACTTTGATTTATATGAGTAACATCCTTTTTTGTTGACAGTTTATCATTTTCGGGTTCCTTCAGTGAATCAATAAGTTGCATGACCTACTCGACCGAGCAATTATTTTTCTAAATCTTGATAGGGAGAATACAAAGAATTTTTGTTATTTCTAAGTTCAAGTAAAAACATTTCGTACATGTCAAAAGATTTAAATATTTAGATATTTATTGTTTGCCTAAAGTAATCTATCATAATGTGGTGAACAGAACACGGGTGGAGACAATCGAATGTAATGGACAAGAAATTACAGAACTTGTTAATAAAATCTAACAACCACATATTAAATGCTGAATTTGCAAAATGTCTATCAGTTATCTCAAAATGACTCAGACTTCATTGTTCTTGCATTTCCATACAAATTGCATCCTATTTCCATTCTTTACTGTTCGATCCTCTTGTTTCTCTGCTGCCAGACATTCTGTTCACGACTCACGTCACATACTACTTATGTCTACATATGTAGCACACACCACAATATGACATTTAAAATAAAGATTTTTCATTACGTTAAACAATAAAATAATTATGATTAAAACCCCAGAAGTTATAGTTAGTATGTGTGATTATGTAAAACATATTAAATGGTTGTAACATAATAATCTTATTTGCTAGACGTGGAAGGAAAAACTTTAATTATTGATTAAGTGGTCTATAGTGTGTGCTACTGATGTCAACAGATATAAGTAGTATGTATCACTAATCGAAAGTGCAATGCCTGGCGGCAGAAGGTTGAGAAAATTAAGCAGAAGAGAACAAGAACAGAGATTGATTAGTATGGAAACGAAAGAACTGTCAAATCTGAGACAATAGGGTGACGTTTTGCAAATGAAGTATTTACTGTATGGTTCTCAGATTTTAGTAAAACATTCTGTAATTTTATGCTCAAATATATTTGGTTGTCCATCACTTTTGTTCTTGTATACTACAGGTAAAATGAATCATTTCTCTTATTAATACAGTATATTTTGAAGATGAGATTTTACAATCTGATCAACTGATACGTAAGCAACAATAATATATATATATATATTAATAGGCTTTCTTGAAACCATAAATTATTTGCTACTAATTAGTGCTGTATACGTCATTTAGTTGTATGTGGGAAGTAATTTCTACTTATAGTTTATTCTAATTACTACATTACTAATCGCTACATTAAATTAATCATGTCTTAGTCAATTAATGTAATGTAATGTGAAAATCTGTAAATATAAGGAAACATCACAACGTTTGTTTAATTTTCTTAACAGGGCCATGAATAGATTGATGTTAGACCACCATGGAAAACCTGGAAGTACTGGACGGCTGTTTCGTCCTAGTATGGGACGCCTCAGCAGTGCGCATTTACAATCCTACCCACGGGATTCGAACCCAGGACCGTCGGCTTAGTCTCTAGACCAATGAGCCGGTATTCAACGGTGCTAATATC